TGAAAGGTTGCCTACTCTACTACTACTACTACTACTACTACTACTACTACTACCACTACTACTACTACTACTACTACTACTACTGCCGCTACTACTACTACTACTGCTACTACTACTACTACTACTACTACTACTACTACTGCTACTACTACTACTACTACTACTACTACTACTACTGTGCAAAATGATTCTTGTCATTGCCACTATTCATTCCTATCGCAATGTTACTTTCCCTTCGTACTACCTACGATTACCGTTAATCGCACAACTCTATGAATATTCCAGGAGTCGTGCACCATGTGGCATGTGACTGTAATTGCAATGGCCAAGGGTATTCTTGTTGGTTTCAGAGTTGAGGGGACCGGGGTTGGAGACTTACAGAATTTTAGTTGAATGACTGGTCTTTTGAGGCTGTGTGGCTTTAGCTTTACCTGTAACTCCTTAGATAGCAACTCTCAGACGACGACATGAGAGATGGGCTGCTGTGCTAATGTCTGGGCCTTGGTTTGGGAACAGGGCTTTTTGAACGCACGCTACATTTTCTATAGGAAAGTTGAAACCCTACAACCCCGAACCTGAAAGCTACAAACCACGCACCCTTCGCACCGGCAACCTTGCAGCCTAAACCCTACAGTAAACCCGACAGCCTCGTATAGATCCTTATAGACTCCTTATGGACCTTTAAGTCGTGGAGTTCATTCGGCCGGTCACAGGTGGCACAGGCCGCGGTGGCAAGGGTTCAGAAGGATTCGTGGTGTCCACTTCTGTCTGCACCTCCCAAAGGGTCGGATTGGGCATTGTAAGAAGGACTACCTTTGCAGTGGGAAGGGGAGGGGGCTTGGGTAGCTGACTTGTCCAGCTTTGTGGACTTGTTTCAGGTTTGGGTTTTGGTTTGGTATCCTTCTGGCACCTATGTGCGACGTCTAAACGTACCCGGGAATGTTCAAACATACTTGCAGTGGCTTTGCGGGTTGCGGGATGTGAGGGCGTGGGACTGTTCTCGTGTGTTGGATCCGCGACTCGTCCTTTTCAGCATTACGAGGCGAAATTCCCTCGAGCCCGACTCGACTACCTCGACTATCTGCATAGGGCTCTACCTGAACCCGAATCAACAGAACCAGGGCCGTGGAGATTGCCCTCAGCCCATATCCCAACCCTTGCACGGCCAAGCAAATCTCTTGAGTTGCCCCCGAAGAACCGCGGCATCTATGAAAGGGGCGCAGGTTCAGTATGGGTACCCCTTAGCAGCCTTAGCAAAAACTTGATATCACATCTCTCTAAGGAAAATCTTAGTCAACGGGTAAATGTATTCTTTAGGACGTCGTGCTGTTCTGGGATGCTTCGGGCTCTGGGTGTTGGATTTGGGAATTGCAAGGTTCCGGGTTCGAGGGTTGTGGTTGATATGGTTGACGCTTACACTCGGACATGCTCAAGCAAGGTCTGCAAAGCTCACTCAAGAATTGCGAGACTAAGCGACAGAAAAGAACCGACTTCGCTCTTCCGCTAACCACACTGATGTGTAGGGTTTTCGTACTTGCAGGCCGCTTAGGGTATGGAGCTTTGAACACTCGTCTGTCCTAGCAGCCCGGAAACCTCGATACAAAGGCGCCGTAATGGTTTGAACAGGGTGTTGGCACAGTTTACAGGTTCGCTGTGTTTGTACTTTGGGGGCTACGTTTAACAAAAAAGCCAGTCCGACCCGTAAAAATGCCTACTAACCCCTACACGCCTAAGCTGAACCGAACAAGTCCTTTTGAACCCTTCAGGGTTTGGGGATGAGGGTTTAGTTGTTTTAGTTTTGGAGTCTAGGGATTAGGATTCAGGATTCAGGTTTTTGCAAGTATGAGTATGGACTTCACTTTGCAGGGCTTGTCCATATTGGGGTTGCTTGTGCTTTTCCGCGGGGACCGCCTGTCGTGGCATCTGACATAGGAGCCTGCTAAAAACAACCGTAAATCCTAATCCCAACACATTCTAATGCCCCAAATCTAAAACCCCAAACTCAATCCTGATCCCTAAACCCTTCTCCTGTAATCAGTGGTCACTGGCTGATGCTTGCAGGGATGGCCCCCACCTTGTCCTGAACTGCGATGGCCTCCACCTCAGGCAGAGCGCCGCTGGTATCGGGGTGGTTGACTTTAATGTAGGGGCCCAGGTAATTACCTATACTATTTTGGGGGGCTCCTTATTATAACTATAGTATATGGGCTATTATATGGGCCCAAAACCCTACTCTAATTATGAAGGCCCGTGTATTAAGCTAGTAGCATTCAGGGTTTAAGGGCCTATACGGATTAGATGTAGGACTTATATAGGGACTTATAAGGGGTCGCTTAGGGTTGAGGACACGGTCATAGATTCCTGTACCAAAAAAATGGGAAAAGGCATACACACAACGGCATAAGAATTGGATAGCAAAGACGCCAAGAGCTTTCTCCGCTCCCGGGCGACAATGGCGGGCAGCAGTCGCCAATCAAAGGCAATGCCACCGACACTCGCCACAATCAGCAGAGAGATACCAGTTGCAATCAGCACGCCGATGCCGAAACCCTTTACGGATCTGGCGCAATGGTTTGGATTCCAGGGAGGCAGTTCGCACTCAACCCGTGTTGAGGATACATCCACCGACACATTGCTGGCTGCAGTTCTGTTGAAAGCATAGTACGAAACCGCTGTCTGGCACTCTCGGCATTGACGCATGGCTGCATTGCCTCGGATTGCTTCGGGCTCAAAGGGCTGGGGGAAACGCACTTTCACGCACTGTTGAATCTCTCCATGTGGCAAGGGCTGAACAGAGCCTACCCAAAAGACAAGAGGCGCCTAAACCAGTAGCAACAAAAAGCAAAACATCGCAAAACCCTACCCTGCAGGCCCTGAAATCATCGAGCATCTTCGGAGAGAAGGTGCACTCTTGCTCTGTCGGACCGGCACCACCGCAGCCTCCACCATCGAGCAACCGATCCCAGGCCCCCTGGGCGCGGCAGCAGGGTGTGACCTTGGCAGGCTTGGGGTTTAGGGGCTAAAAAAATACCTCCACGAGCTTTAAGTACTTCAAGGATCATGGGACTTAGTAAGTAGGGTAATAACTAGGGTAACTATACTTAAAGCCCCAATTAAGGGACTTATAACCTTACTCACCAAGTCCCATGATCCTCCAAGTAGGATCTAGGCATGTTGACAGTTCAGGCTTCAGGCCAGAGCTCGCCATCGTCCGAAACTGCCGTAAACCGATTTCAGAACGTATTCAAGGCATGCTGCGACATGCATGCCATGCCCTGAAAGAAAAGCAACGCATCCCGCTCCGGCCCCCAAGCATCTCTTAACGAGGAGCGGTGCGTCCAGGTTGGAGTGTCCCGCAGCTTTCACGCCGAAAAACGAACACAAGCAAAGCTAGAGGCTCGCACTAATTAAAACCACCGAGCCTAAATTACCACTTGGCCAAGACACCCGAAATTACATGCCTTGCGAATTGTGGGATTTTCGAGGCCAAGGGGGTCGTGTACTGCTGACCTAACAACTAAGCCAACTCAGCTTCCTTTCGAAACCAACGCTTCCCACACCCAGAACTCAAATCTAAACTCGTCGACACTCTCATCTCAAGAGAGCGACGAAGCTGCTCAACACCTCAATCCCTCCGAAGATGCTACAAAGGCCTATAATCAAACCCTCAACCCTGAACACCGAACTATTATCACTAAAGTCCCTAAATCCTAAGGGTGTGCTATTACTTGTCCGAGTGACGACAGGGTCCTGGAGCTCATCGGCCTCAAGGAAAGTAATATAGGCGGGCCCTGATAAATGGCATAACAGCGTTCTTTAACTGGGGCCCATTGTTTTCATAGGGTTTCAAGTTTACTGCAAGGGGCCGAGCCTGAATGAGAAGAAGAGCGCTTTGGCGTATGGCTACTACTCATGTCGACCTCTAAAGTACTCTATACCATGGAAGAGAAAGGATCGTGTCAGGCCATCATGCTACCAACTGGGGCTGGCAGCACGAATAAAAGTGCCTCAATAATTAGCATAAGGTTTTGGGGCCCATGATACTAATATTTTTATAAGGAACCCCCGCAACGGTATAGGAAATGATGTAGGCCTCTACACTATCCACAATCAACCTTGGCTGCTGTCATGAACTGGTCGATTCGACGGACGACTGCTGCTACTACTCAAGAAAAACGTCGTTGTTATTGCTTGTGCAGGTGTTGTTGTCGTTGCTGGTGCTGCTGCCGCTGCTGCTGGTGGATTTGGTGCTGTTGTTGCTGTGGTTGTTGTTGCTGCCGCTGTTGGTGCTCGTGTTGGTGTTGAAGTTGCTGTTGCAGTTGTGGTCGCAGTTACTGTTGCTGTTGTCCTTGTTGGTGCCGTCGTTGTTGTTGTTGCTGCTACTGGTGTTGCTGGTGTTGCTGTTGTTGCTGTTGCTGTCGCTGCCGCTGCTGCTGTAGTTGTTGCTGGTGGTGCTGCTGTTGCTGCTGCTGTTGTCGTTGCTGTCGCTGTTGTTGTAGTTATTGTACTTGCTGTTGTTGCTGCTGTTGTTGGTGTTGATGTGGTAGTCATAGTACTACTACTAGTAACCAGTAGTTAGTTAGTTAGTTAGTTAGTTAGTTAGTTAGTTAGTTAGTTAGTTAGTTAGTTAGTTAGTTTAGTCAGCAGTAGCAGTAGTAGTAGTCGTCGTGGTGGTGGTGGTGTCGTTGTTGGTGTTGTTGTCGTTGTTGCTGTTGTTGCTGCTGTTTACTGTTGTTGGTGTTGATGATTCTGCTGCTGGTGCTGTATTTGGTGGTGGTAAGCGAAAACAACTTCTACTTTGCGCGTTTCAATCCCTAGGATCACATCGTGGACTTTGGCCGTATAAAAAGCTTAATCCTAGACTCGACTGAATGAACCACAAACTTGGAAACCCCAACCCCAAACCCTGAAACCCCCAACCTTCCTGCAAAATCTCAATATCTGAATCCTCAAGAATATCCCCTGGGTTACAGTTACTTAAATACTAGGTCTATTATATTCTACGTATCCCCAGTAATCCTAGGTCCCAAGCGCAGAACCCGAAACCATCGCCACCAGGGGTTTTCAGGGTTTAGGGCTTTGGGGCTTCAGGGTTTTAGTGTGTAGGGCTCAGGGTATAGAGCTTTATACTTAAAGGATCATGGGACTTAGTAAGTAGGGTTATAATTGGGGCAACTATACTTAGAAGCCCAATTATGGGACTTATAACTTTACTTACTAAGTCCCATGATCCTCCAAGTAGGGTTTTTAGGGTTTAGGACTTCAGGGGTTCAAGGCCCTGGAATTTAGAAGCCCGATGGGCCTTGGAGCAGTTCAGAGCTGCACGCACTCCAGACACAGCTGCCGCGGCGACCAGAGCCCTCCATTTCGAGAGCCCCATGGAGTGTGGAGCCTCTTTAGCTGGTGCCTTTTTAGGGTTTAGGGATGTTTAGGGTTTAGGGTTTAAGGCGCTAGGGGCTGTAGGTTCGGGGCTTTGGGGCACTTGGGTTTTGGGGGTGGGTTTACAACCGAGGGTTGTGCGAAGTGGGCTTGGGGAGTGTAAGCTGTAAGCTTGCGCGTGCTGTTCTCAACAAAAATATAGTTTAGCCCGGAATCCTTTCAGATACCCAAGGCCATCTCAAAGCCCCAAACTCGGCATAGATGTGCGCCCCAAGGAGTTTGAGCCAACTGTGCGGCCAGGCGAGTTCAGCGAATCGAGAGTGCGGAGGCTTTACGAGGTTTGAGAGCTCAGGGCCGAGGGGGCTTAGGGTTTAGGGTTTAGGGTTTTAGGGTTTAGGGTTTAGGGTTTAGGGTTTAGGGTTTAGGGTTTAGGGGCTTAGCCTCTATAAGGTTTAGGGAGTTTAGGATCTAAGGTTTACGGAGTGTATGGTTTTGACGGCGTGGAAATTCTGAATCCCTCTTGCAATTGGGGAAAAGCATTTTGGCCGTCCCCTGAATCCCGCCAGCACATGGTCTCCCGGTGGTTTTATGATGGTTTTCTTGTGGTCGTGGACATGGTGGTCGCTCTTGGAGTGGTTGTGATAGTCTCGTCGGTCGCCTTTTTGCTCTATCACTGCATAGAAATCTACCCTGGCATAGTTTCGGGAACTGGCGTCCTAGGGCATGATAGCCATAATAAAAGCAGTAGTAATTATATTTTGCAATAAAAGATGCAATTATTAATAATGATAGTGAATAACTAGTGGTGGCATTAATAACAATTCTTTTCTATTGTAGTTCTCGGACTGTTCTTACTATGCATTATGCAAAGACATCGGGCCATGATCGGGCCATGCTCGCCACACCCGGCTGCCGTGGCAGGGATCTAATCAAGAGGCCCGAGTCCGTTTAGGGGGGGGTGGTGGCGGAATTGTAGCAAGAACGGAGGCCTGGCAGGGTCCTGAACGACCGACTTTGCCAACTGCTTTGCTATTGAAGTTTAGAGCCGGGCACGGACGACATCAGAGTCACTAGCTGCTTCCAACAATCTACTTTTCACTGCCAAGACATGTATTTTGACTTCACTGAGTTTCTAAAGAATCCGTTGATGTGAAGGTGATTCATGGGCACCCAAATCATGCAAGGAGGACTGCGCACAGCATGCAGGCCCACACGTGTCCTGTAGACGTGGTGGAGGCTTTGATACTTCGCCGCATCCTGCCAGGAAAGCCTACACATCCAAAACTGAAGCATCTACTTGTGATGTTGTGTTAATCCCTTAATATTAATTTAAATGGGGGGGGCAAGAAAAAGTCGTGGTTATACCATTAGGGTGTACTGTTACCTCTACTGTTGCTTTGGAAGGACCTTGCCCCGGCTCTTGCTCCTGCTCTTGCAATTGCTTCTGTTTCTGCCGGGGCTCTTGCTCTTGCTCCTGC